GTTTCCGAGGCTGTAAATCTTTACGGGAGCAGAACGCCTCATCTTTCTCCCACAAAACAGCTGGTGGTTTCGAACTGCTGACCGTGAGATTAGCAGCCCGATTCATAACCACTACACTACCAGAGCGCTAATAAGTATAGGTAAAGTTCATCAAATTGTAGCAAGTTACTCTTTTTGTTTTTCTGTTTCCCCTCTTCTTTCTTCTTCTAGTCGAGTTCTGATCATCCACCATCGAAGCCAGGTCAAGTGGGTACTATATGCAAGTATGGGTGTTCTTGTGTTGATAAGATCTTTTGATGAGCATGCTGTTGTTAAGTGAAATGAAGTCAGTTCTGACAAATCTACTGCATAGGACCTCTTTAAAGTGTTCAAGAGTAAAGGCATCATTTTGAGGACTAAGGTGCCCCTGACCCAAGACATGGTTTTCAATAGCTTCATATGAAAGTGGGACAGTGAATAAGGATAAGTATAGACGAATTGACTCATTTGAGTTATGGTGTTGGTGAAAAATATTAATAGCACTGTGGACTGCCAGAAGAATAAACAAATCCATGTTAGAAGGACAGACAGATTGATCCTTTGAAGCCAGGATGTCAAGGCTTCATCTCTTATACTTCAGACGTATTATCTGAAAGGACCACTGAAAACGGACATCATGCTTAGTAAAGTAGAGCATCAGTTAAAAGAGAAAGACCTACAATGAGATGAATTGGCTACAATGGCAGCAGCAATGGTCAGTGTTTCCTTCTGTTGTGCATAGGGTCACTATGAGTTGGAATTGACTTGATGACACCTACAGTAACAACAACAGCAACAAATGTACAACAGAGGATACAATGCCTGATCCTAGGCTGCATGTTTGATTCTGTTGTTTCAAATACTGTATAGTCTATCTTCTTAAAGGACTTCCTCTCCTTTACCAAGCATGAAATCCTTCACCAAGGATTAACCCCTCATGATAATATAGCCAAACACCTGAGATGAAGACTCCCTGCCCTTTCTTCTAAGGAGCATTCTGACTGTATTTCTTCCAAGACAGATTTGTTTGTTCTTTTGGTAGCTCATGATATATTCAGTATTCTTCACCAACACCATAATTCAAGTGTTTCAATTTTTTTAGGAATCCCATTATCTAATTTATCTTCTTCCATTTGAGCATTTTTAGCTTTATCTGGTAGGCTATTTAGGTCAACAATTAGGTCTCCTACTTTTTACTCTAGGTTATCTTCCAGGAATTTTGTAATTTTCGTTTTAACAATTGGGTTGTTGAGCCATTTTGATTTAGTTTTTGTGCATGATGTGAGGTATGGATGCTGGTTTACTTTTTTGAAAATGGATATGTTGTTTTGCCAGTACCATTTGTTAAAGTGACAGTTTCCTTCTCCACTGAGTGGACTTTGACCATTTATCAAAGATCAGTTGCCCTGAGATAGATGGATTCACTTCTGCGTTTTCAATTCTATTCCATTGGTCTATGTGTCTGTCATTGTACCATTCCCAGGCTAAATTCTAATTACTGTGCTATATGTTAAATATTAAGATCAGGAAGTGATAGATCTACTTTTTCCTTCTTCAATATTGCTTTAGATTTAGTGGGGGTTGGTAGGGGTCCTTCTTTCCATATAAACTCGGAGATTAGTTTTTCTACTTCATTAAAGAATGTCTTTTTGGAATTTGGGTCTGGATTGCATTATATTTATAGATTACTTTAGGTAGTGTTGACATTTTATCAATGTTGTTTTCCAATCTATGAATATGGAATGCTTTTCCACTTATGTAGATATCTTTTAGTTTCTTGCAGTGGTGCCTTACAGTTTTGTTTTTTGTTATGTTTTGGTATGTCTTTTACATGCCTGGT